TTAACTGTGATGAAAAGGTTTCTGATACATATAAGGTCATTATTTTTGCTGAATTCAATGTCTTACTCATATAGGGAGGTTAAGAATGCAATTAAGTATGGTAAAGATACCTTAACACCCAACATTGTCATAAATTCCCTTAGAAGTAAGGAGATGAAGAAGGCTGTAAAAGATGATAAGAGGAGTGGTAAGTTGCATATGATGAGGAGTATAATGAAGTTTAAGCACATGAATTTGGGTAGAGCTCAAGACAGCAGTGACTCGAGTGATGAGGGTGGTAAGAAGAATGGTGGCAAGTCTGGACATTTTTTGAAGGATTGTCCTAAGAAAAAGGATAAGCAGAAGGGAAAGATGAGAGACGAGGCAAATGTGGTTATAGGGTTGAGTGATAACCCCAGTGAGGTTTATTGAGAGTAAACCCATTTACTGCATGTGCATCCCTGTATAATCCTTTTTGCTTGTGTGTGATTGATTAATTCTGTTACATAGTTATATGTGTATTTCAATGTGTTTGAGAGCAATTTAATTACTTAGTGTAATTGTTTGCGTGCATAGTGGATTAAGATGCATTAACTGTGTTGTATGTCTATTGGTGAGATGAATTGTAGATACCTATGGGTACATTGGTGGTTTGTACCAGAGATGTGGAGTGTGATATTTTGATCACGAATGGAGAAGTGATTAAACGTTTGAATCCTTTATTTGTGAAGAGACCCTAATTAGGTGGAGTGTGAGAGAGGCAATTCTATCATTTCTGTTAGGTGAAGACCCATTATCCACATAGGTTGGGAGAATTGATGTGATGATAGAGAATTATCCCAAGAACTTAGTATTTATAGAGGTTTACTAGTTAGACATGAGTTGAGTGATCAGTCTACTGAACATTGTGGGGGATGAGATGAGATATGTATTCTCGAAGTGTGAGCAACCCAGAATGGGATATAATAAGTGTGGTGAGATCTTTTCATGTGGTCATTTATGCATTTGTTATATGTGTTTTCACCATTTACTTGATTAACTTGGTGTTAATTTATTGTTTTGCGTGAACGTATTTTGGAAAAGATTTGTAGATTATCCTATGTTATATCTCTATCGTATGATTATTTTTTTTTTTGATTGATTATTGTGATTATCTACTTCTAATTGGGTATTTGTTTGTGATTTTAGCCCTGGTGAGTACATGGAGTAGGTATGGTATGTGTTCGGGTCTAAAACACGAGGTAAGTTCTGTTATTCCAATTTTATTCGTTGTTTTGATTATGCAAGCGTTAACTTTGTATTTTGATTACTTGCAAATTGATTGGGTATTAAGGTAGAGATTTGTTGTATTTTGATACCAGACGATGATGTAAATGTTGGATTAAATTATTACCAACAACCAAGTTTAAAGGCTCAACCCGAAAATATCGTGGGCAGTTGGAAGTAACTTAAATAATTGGGAAAAATTCATAAATAAGGTGTATTCTTTACACCAATTCAAAAATCAGGTATACAGTTTGAAAATTCAAAAATCAGGGTTTTTTTTATTTATGAAATAATAAATTATTAAATATTTAATTCTAATATAATATAATTAACCCATCTCACATGCACTACCCATACTGCTACGGGGACTATTCCAGCAACTATTCCGACCACCACTCTTCTCCGACGACCGTTCCGCGACTGTTCCGATTCCGGCAATTATTCCGACGACTATTCCGATGACCATTTTGGTCATAGATTTATAATTTACGGTCACAGTTCAAAAAATTTATAGGTCACATTAATTCGTTGGTCACATATTAAAGTTTATAGGTTACACAGTCACAGATTTCCAAATTAATTGGTCACAGATTTTCAAATTGGTTGGTCACAGATATTTTTGAGTCACATATTACTAAATTTTTAGGTCACAATTGAGTAACTAGTCACAGATTACC